GAACTGCATCCTTCACACTGGCCACGGCAAGCCACTCTATAGATCATATACGCATTCAAACACCGCTAGTGTCGGCAATAGAAGTCCCATGGAGGGTGCATCCTAACAGCAACTGATTAATGCCAACAGACTTCACTACTTCATCAAAACCACATCCTTATGTTACCACACGTTACTGTTATGCCCGAAGCTTCCCAACAGGTGCGGGCAGGATCCCAGCTATTTTACCCGCTATGTATTCTTTAACGAATACGCTCGCAATGTAAATAAACAAACAGTGAAACAAAAATAGGAGGAATTGTTAAAACAACAATCGTGTAAGAAACTGTATTGAAAATAATTAGTATTAAAATGGATGACAACTGGTTCCGCTTCCGGACAGATTGACCACCCTCTTTTCTGATTCTGAAGGTTCACCAATGTCCGACAAGATGGTAGAGATAAAGACTGGGGCGTGAAGATTTACTCAGCATGGGTATCGCTATTTGAAGGGTAAGAACGCCGTTCTGCTTATGCAATCACTCTATAAAATCGCCACTATCGCTTCTCGGAGTAATCTTCTATCTGTGCTGTGTGGGAGGTGGTGCGACCTACACACCTCTATGACTAACAACACCTTTCTTGTACTGGTACATATATGTACCTTGGCGTATCCATTAGGAAGGTTCTCAACAGGCAACATGTCTCAATATGCGACTTGACCTTGTTAAACGAAACATATCCAACGGACAGGGTAAAGACAACCTAGTAGTCACCTGGCAATGATCCTTGCTAAGCAGGCATTCTGGCCAGGATTAAGGAGCGAATTACTGTAGGAATACCGTTTTTGCTTTGGATTTTTATTTTTTAAAGGATTCCGGAAAGCGATTGCGGAGTAGCTAATGTGAAGAATCGAGATGCTCGTGCACAATCCAATCAAATTCAGACTGTATGAAACATCCATTTATGCTCTGTCAGTTTTTAACTACAGAAATGCCTTTTTCCGCTTTTTCTCTACGGATTCGTGATTTTGGTGAATCAGTGGTTTCGTATACAATTTCTTCTATCGTTTAGATTTCCTTGACTCATTATAGTCAGTTTCATGAATCGAGTGTCACTTGTGCTCATCGAGCAACTTCTTTTACGAGACGGATGAGCTTGCGCCTCCCGACCCGTGTCTGTGAAAAAGCTTGTTCCTCCTGGTTACTTACTGCAGTTATTAAATGTATCAAGAGCTTTTCGAGAATTTCTGTGGTTATTCCATGTAACAGAACTTTTCCAGAAATTCCCAGCAATTCCGGCTCGGAGTGAAATGCGTGAATTACCCAGACAGTAAAATAAAGTCAAAATTCATCAGGTTGATCAGTCACTTTTTGAGATGCTCTGACACATTTGACTTCCACCTACTACAGTTTACCGTTGAGTTTAACGAGTGGAGTTTTAACGATGGCACTTACTGTTGTATTGTGAAACACTTAGTCCGTTGTCATTGAAGCTGTAATAAACCGCTGAACCGCCCCCACGTTTTCTTCATTTCATTTTGTTACAATTTCCTTTTTGGTGCATAGAACTCGAACGTATGGGGGATGAGTGTAAAGGAGAGGGCGGGGCAAGGGAGGAAAGGGGGAAAACTCAACGGGAATGTGAAGTGATCTGCGCCAGGGGTGAAGAAGACATTTGTGCACTAGATAGTAATGTTCCCATATACAGTGGTGAACTCGTCACATCCATGTGCCTACATCGAGGAAGCACGTGAAGGTGCTCGTGTTGTGCTGAAGCCTGTTAAGGAATTTCGCTAAGAGAGGGTATCTGATAGGGAAGAAAAAGGAAGAAAGCCTAGAGTTCAACGGTTTGATGCCGTTTTCGGATGAACAGCTCATCAAATTATAGGTGTGACTGCCGATAAGCTGCTGATGTGTCATGAAGAAGAAGAAGACAAGCAGGGTGTCACCAGCGTAAGGGGTTAACAACACGGTGCCAGTATCGCACCAAACCCAGTAGTGATTCGAGACTCATCCTAGGCCAAAATCTTGCCCACAACTCGCCGTCTTTGTGAGGCAGTTGAAAGGTGTTTGGTGTTACCTTCATCCACCTATTCTGCACCTGTTGGTGACTCTTAGTTGTATCTGATACAAAACAAACGAAGCAAGGTGTTGTCAGGTGTTGTCAAAAGTGTGGAGGGCCAACCTATGTACACCTGTATCTCCTGCCATCCCGTCGATCAGCGAAGTCCTCGAGCGGGCTCCAGTTATTTCTCCATTCGTTCCTGTCACTAGTCAGAGTAGACCAGCGGATCGTTCTCGCTCGAGAGACACGAAACATAGCACTCATTTCGTCCCAAGCTTTTCAGGCTACCAGCTTATGATGAGCTTGAGGAGGTCTCATCATAGAGCTGGCAGCCAACTTGGCACTCGTTTGACGTCCCGAAACGTCTAACGAACCCGCTCTGTCAACTGCTAAAATCGCCAGCCAACGAGTTGGTAGAGTTGTGTGCCTACAGGTAGTGTGTGTTTTCCACAATACAGTAATTTATTGCTTTTTCACTCAGTGCTGCTTTGATTGTCACATGTTACAGCGGTGTCTATTTCTCAGGTGGCATCAATGTTTCCAAATGAAGAATTGCCACCATTGTAAACTCGACTTTCTTCACTGCTATTTTGAGTCAGGACACAGACAGCTTCTCTTTTACATAAACTCTTTTATTATTCAGTTAGCATTGAATGTAGCTTGAAAGTGACGTCTGTGATTCGACCCGTTTCGTCCGTGCGTTGTACTGATACACCTGATTGGGAGTGAATATTGTGACAGTACTACCAGATGCTGAAAAACACAAAATGAAGATGAAAAATTTTAAAGAGGATGGAAACGTTCAGAACACAAATATATCATCACAAGCTGCCCTCCCTCGAAGATCTACCATTTACTTGCAGTAGAATGATGAAAGACAAAGATTTAAAAGCAGAGTTAACGATAATTTTGAGGTACTCCTTTCGTTTGGAAGACGGAAGTATAGGTTGGAAGTAGTTCACCGGTAGTGAAGAAAGCAAGAGAATTTGCCGATTTCGAGAAAAATATGGCTTCTCAAAAGTGGGGAAAATAGGGAGAACGTCCGCTGCGCGCGTCCGTCGAAAGTGGGTCACCCCGCCCACTTCGCGCGCGGCGCACCCTACCAAAGTTTCGAGATGACATCACAGTACCACTAAGTGTCAGTGGAGCTAATGATTTGCATTTGTCCGTGTTATCTTCTCTTTGGCTGACTGCCGTGGACCAAGCGCAAATCGTATGCCCCACTGACAATGCGACGTTCGTCAAGTATCGCGGACTGACCCTCGTATGCGACGGCTGCAGCGTGACCTAGTTTGTTACGGACGCGCGCAACGAAACGCACCCGGCAAATAGAGGTTGGACGAAAGCATCATGACGGGAATAAAATGGAAAGGGTATTCGGACGAGAATTCAGTTAATGCAATTGCGCAAAGAGCTGAGTACATTAAGTCAGAACTGTACAGAACTGCCGTTCACTGACGCTATGGGGTTATGACAAGTTGTTTTCCTACATGGGTCCCTTTGTGATCGGTGCAGCCTCTATAATGCCGGTGAAACTCGTCCGAGGATACCCACGAAGCAAACTTTGAGCCTTTATAACGCCCAAACTAGGGTGTTTTCAGACGTAATAGCGTCAGATATGGTATACCAGGAGGACTCAAATTCATACTATGAGAAAATCTCAGAAACCATTCTTATCGTGGTAGCCGTAGCCGGTCGATTTTATTGCGTCTTTCTTATTATTTGGAGATCCATCTAGAGTATCCGCTGGTGATTGAGTAAAAACGTCCCAGGCCAGGATACCAAGACGAATCACATATGAGGTGATCCATGGCGCCTGGTGGAACCGTTGGAATGAATGGTGCTAACCCAGGTCATCCACTCATCCTCTTCATAATTTCTACCCTGTTACATTGGCACATGAACTTTCTACCCTGCTACATTGGCACATGAACTAATACACTGTTGCGGTAACTCAATTTAGTATGGACAACATTCATAAACTTACGAGATTCCATCCCTTTTACGTTAGAAGGCATGTTGGGGAAATAGCTTGATATCCGATTATTCAATGTTGACTGATTCCAGAACTCATCGTAGACGGCAAACTCGTCGCCGCGGTCCTAAAAATTATGAAAAAAATCAGTTAAAGCTTTTTGATGCGAAAATCTGCCTTTTTCGACTACCGAGAAGGAAATAATAAAAACTGTGCTATTGCGTTTCTCCCTACAAACCTTCCGCCTACTGAAAAAATGAAGTGGTGCACACCAACTGAGCATGCTGTTCGGGATTCTCACTGTTGCTCAGTTCCACTAATCAAACTCAAACTGTATGAAAATGAAAACTAACCGATAAAAGTATCTGATGTCCATTGATCCATCGCAGGGCCCCACTTGGCGAAAACGATATGTCAGATGGGAGACGTTTAGGGAAACTAGAATCTAGTTGGAAGTTGCCTCGAAGTCGAGAATACGTATAGGCGTAAACCTGAGAACACAATTACAAATGAGCTAGATTATTTGCCCACATAAAACAATGACCAGAAAATGTTCCCAGTGCCTAACCACGAACATCCTGTGGCGTTTGTTGTTGTTCATAATTCGGAGCTCATTATAAGACAAATCAGAGTACTGTAAATTGACTGATTTTTCAAAGATTACTTCTAAAAGTTGAGGCTAGACCAAGTGAGATATGGACTCAATTTCGTGGTGTCTGCTCCGGAGAGAATTCAGTTCTGAGAGCGGTTCTGCGAAACTCTACCACCCATTTAATCTGCTGAACTAACCATGAGTATGGAACTCCTGCAGTATTCAGATAGACGGTCGAGAGAAGTATTCTTCACATGATGTTTAGTTACTGTATGGTCAACTTAGCAAAGGTCCTCACAAACTCGCAACTCAGGTGTTGTGAGCCTTTGAAATTTTCCCTCACCTCGAGCTTGTTATCAGGTGAAGTTGAACGGCGTTTTTTTACAATATTTTGGGCATCTTGGTGCGTTATCAGCAAAGATGGGGAACAGAAAACGAAATAGGAACACATCAAATCATTATAGATCAGGGTTTTGCTTTCTGGAGCNCAGAAAAGATTAACTGAGCCCGTTCCCAGTCTGGTCATGAGCAAAAACCCTCACGACCTCAAACGATGAGGAGGTCTTTACTGGATTTTGTGAAGGCTGAAACTCCTTTAACATGATAGTTGTGGAAATTGGCTGTGGTGGTGAAAAATAAGGTTGGCTATTTGAACGGGGGCAGCGAAATGGTTTACCATGACGGTGACTACTAAATTTTGAGTGGCCTAAGGAGCACGGCGCAGCTGAATTGCTCTTCTAGATTTTGAGCAACTTAGTTTTTGCTAAGCTCACCTGTCTATTCGCTATGAGAAGCATCATACCAGCGATAGGATTGAAAACGGCAGCATCGACACGGGACGGAGCACCTGGGAAGAGATCGCGGATGTCGTAGGTCTAAAAGAATCCCCTTGAACAAACTAAGAACAGGTATCCTCTAAAAGTAGCGATCACCTTGCGAACACGTCTATCGCTTAACTCGTAGACCTTCGAGCCAGAGAACAAGTAGGAAAATGCAAAACCTAAACCTTTGATTCTTAGCAGGGTGAGAATGTGCACCAATTACTAACGAAACAATTTGAATAGCAAAGAAGATGTGTACTTTTTAAACCGTGTTCGGTGACAAATGAAGGCAAAATCACGAACTTGGTGTGTAGGCGTCGACCGAACGCGGGCAGCCTCCTGAACTACCTGAAGATCCGAAACCACTACCACTGCCAAATGAACTACCGCGATCGCCAGATGACGACGGTCTTCTCGTGGTTGCATCTGCAATGTACCTTATAATTCCATTTCTGGAGTTCGACTAATAAAAACAATAACAATGACAGTGTTTCCGCCGAACAGCGATACGCATCGTGTTGTGGCGGATTTTCCCCTTCGCAGCGCGCGACCTGGTGCGGAGAGCGGGCACGTCGTTTGGGTGGAAGGACCCACATCCAGACTCCTTGTGATAGAGGTGTTCAAAAGATCAAGCGACATGCCGCGCTCTCCGTACTCTGACGTCATAGGTAAGGACGCTTGTGAAAGAGTGCGCAATTTATAGGCCAGCTTTGTCACCTGTGTGCTTGTACTGGTTTTAGTATAATCATTTGTCCGAAATAGTCGACTCAAAAGGCATCATTCAAAGTTGAGCGTTGAGCGCCGACGCTCTGTTGACAACGCCATCGATCGATACCGCAAGGGTCAGCTGTGAAAAAATCCTTAAACAAGTTTTTTCAGTTGCATTTGTGATTTTCCTCTTTGACTGTTCATACAACTTCGTCATATTTATGACCGGCCTTTCCCTGCTGCGGTATAATTTGTCGAATGTATATCATTATAAAGGGCGGAGGTGGTGTAGTGGCAAGTGGCGCACTATATCACACGCACGTTCACGTTCAGGGGTTCGAATCCCGGATCGATCCCTGCTTAGGCCAACCAAGCCTTCCATCCCTCCAGGGTCGGTGAATTGGTACCAGACTTGTCTGGGAGGATAAAAGTACTGACTTGTACATCGACTGGCCACCGCAAGTCATTGTATAGGCCACATACGCACTCATTACGCCACTACGATTCTGAATGGAAGTCGAGTGCGGGGGCGCATCCCTCAGACGGGATTGATTAACGCCAAAAACTTTATCCTTTTATATCATTATAAAAGAGTTCAACTCAGGTTGGCTCGGGAAGCAACATACTCCAACGCAAGGCCTGTCAGCAACTGTGCGGATCAGAACGCGGCCTAGGAGCGCCGAGCGCCATTCGCTGACACAAGAGCGTCGAGCGCTCAACGCTCAGCGGTCTACTCTGAAAGCGGCGCAAGCATGCACGACGCTCTCGCACGAGTCACCACGGAATTCGACTGTCCTAAAGTCACGTCATATTTATGACCGGTCTTTCCCCTTCTACCTTTCTCCATTTCTCCTCCTGCCTTCTGCATAATATTTCCCAAACCATTCCTCTTTTTAACTCATTTCATGCCTTATGTTTCAACTCGTTTTCACACCTTTAGAAACCGATAGATTTACGGTACTATGTTCCATCGCTCTTCTTCACTAACAATAAAGATGAAAATTCTAAGTTAAAGCACTGCAAGACAGATTTATTCACGATTTAGTTGGAATAGGAAATTTCTGACTAATCTATTGACAAGTGCATATTGAAGAGGTCACCCACATCGACCATGTACCTTGCTGTCGCATTTCCAAAGAACAGTAAGCTCCTTATTTGGCCAACAACACATAAGCGTGGTGTCCTCTTGTCTCGGTGAGTCTGATGAAGTCGAACTTGATGCTGCTAGCTTTACCGTTAGAGCTTCAATATGTGCTTCTGATGTTGGCGCTCATACACGGAAGTGCTGTTTTCTCGTACCTTCAAGCTCCAGAAGAATTCTTTTTCCAGAAAATCTATGTATAAATCGACTCGCCACAGAGAGTGGAGCAGCATCGGTTAAAGCAAAGCCGTCACCATCTAAGCAAGAAAAAGAGGGGCGAATGCCTACATTTGACGCTTTGGCGTCAAAGACGCTTGGCGCTGTACTATGAAAGGCCCACTCGCGGCGGCACGCACTTGCAACTTTTTTCATTTTCAATTTGTCATTAAAGCGGAGGCAAAACTCCTCTACAAATTCTCGCGATAGTCTGGTCCAGCGGCATCTACCATGACCACAACTGATTATTCAAGCTTTCCCATTCACTGCGTGTGACTGCGCGCGTTGGTATTAGGTTGACTGAAAAATCTCAGGGTTTTTTGAAAAGTGCGGCATTTTTGATTTTTGACCTATATCCATGACCTATATGTGATAGTTGTAAAGCATTTCGAGAGCTTCTCCGCGAAAGGTATAAAAGGGCGCGTGCGCCTATCTGAGTTTAAACACGATGCCATTTTCACAAGACTATCTTTGAGCCATCGGAGCCATCATCTTCTATGAGTAGCGCCGCGGCATTGGAGCGACTGCAACAGTCCACAGCATCAACAGCGCATTGGGGGAGGACACCACTTAAATCGCTACCGTCCGGATATTCATTTGTCAGACTCCCCTTTTTCGCACACATCGCAAGGAGTTTCTGGAGGACCTATTTACTGGAGATGAATACCGGATCCTCTACGGCGCTTACGAGCACCGCGCCGTCTGGGTCCAGCGAGAATTTTCTACAGTTTCAGAGTTTTGGAGCTGTAGGTTCCTGCGGAAGCCGTTCGAGAAAAACGGCCTAGACGAATTTCGGTGCAACTACTCCATAACAATGCTAGGCCTTACATTGGTAGAGAGGCCCGTGCAAATTCGGAGGAGCTAGGCTGGAACACGATTCCACATCCACCCTTTTCATCTGAATATTGCTTTCTAAGATTACCTCTTGTTCCGGCCCCTCAAGGCATTCCTAGCAGAGAAACAATTCGTCAACTACGACCACCTTGAACAAGTGGTCGGTGACTTCTTTGTTTGCTGAGTTGTAAATGAAGACAGCAAAAATCTCAACCCTATCGAGACTTTTCCATCAACCTAATAGAAGATACTGGGTGACGGTACTTCTTCCTGAATTTCCACGGCAAGCAGAAATGAACTCGCGGCTACTACCACATCCTTCCACTGAAAATCTGAACCTTTTATTTCAAAGCCCGTGAATGCGCGCGATGGGTGCGGTGAGTGCGACGCGATTTTAGGGATGAAGTGCCCACACCCAAGATACCACATCTCATTTAAACACCAAAATACTGTTCTAATAGTTTCTCAATGGTTTTTCAGAAGCTTTATAAACAAGGAGAATGCATCTCATAGATAGTACGTTATTACTTCTGTCAGGAGATCTTCTCACATAAACCGGTTACTATTATTACAGTAGGAAGTTTAACATTATGCAAACGATAGCCATAGAACAGGAGAGCTGATGCCGCTGCCTTTTTCTTCGTTCTTTTTTCTTTCTCTTTTTCTTGTGACGAATATTAAAGACCACTCAGTGGAATACTGCAAATGAAATTTCCTAAAGTAATGAATACCAAATCAATAAAAATAAAAGAACAAAAGAGGATCAAGGGGAGAGGATTCTCCTACTGGTTACGAGGAACACATGGAGCTAGGTAATTAATTATTTGTATAAAAAAGGTGCTTCAGTTGTTCAGATCCAGGACAAAAGGATTTTCTGGGGAAGGCAACTGCATCCCCTTCAAATTCACATACAAAACTGCTTCCAAAAATTGCTGATTTTCAAAGTTAAACATGGCTGCCCAGATAAAAAGGCTTTACATTTCGTATTAGGTTGAGTAGAAAGTTTTGATCGACCTTCGTCCCTTTTTTTGTAGGACCGCTCGGAAGGACTTCGTAATGGGTTATGGTAGACCGATCCCTACCTGTATTTTTAAAAGGATATATAAGCATTTACTTGGAAATGCTTCGCAAGAATGACTTCAACCTTCAACTGGCGTCCGAAGCTGTCTGAGAGCTATCGTCTATCACGAATTACTGTGAGGGCATAATCCACCGACGGCTGTCGCAAATATCTGTGGTGCATCCAGAAGGGTCATCGTATCTTAGCCCACGGGTGCCTCATGACGAAGCACCCCAAAGACTAACAGAGAAGTAGACTATGTCCGAGGAAGGTTTTACCGTGTCGTCGGTGGACATTCTCAGGGAATGCTCTACATTGGATAACTTACTGAGGGCTCCACCGCGAACGCCGAGATTTACGCTTTTCAGCTACAGAGTTTGGTCGACATTGTTCGAAGGAAGCGTCCGCAGCGTGAAAATGTTTGCCTTTTTCACGACAGC